GATACCGGTACCCATCCCTAAGTACAAGTATAAAATGTTGACAACCAAAGCTTTTAACCTGATTTCAATTTTAACTTTGACTTCCAATTGTTATTAAAACCAGATGATTAAGATAAAACAAACTACTGCTTTCTAATAATAGTATTATTTTGCCTTTCAGTACCTTAATTCCCTTTAATTTTACACTTCTCTAAAACTCCAGATTCATTCAGTTCACATTTTTTTATTAATTTATTTAAAATTAACATAATTTCAAATGGACTTTCTTAATTTAAAACTTGATTAAAACTTTGGACGGGGCCAGTACGGCTGCTGAGTGGTGAGCACAGGCAGTATAAAACATGGATCTTAAAGGTGAAGCCAGCGCGGAAGTGCCTTAAACTTAAACCTGCGTTCTTCTTAATAGCCAGTAGGGGCCAACAGCTGGACTTCTAGTTGTATAGAAGTTAATAGGAGAACAACCTTCCAACCTGCCCTCTCTAAACTCTGTCCTGATGAGTTTATGGACTCAGTTACTCATCTAAGGTCACACTGAATAAACATCAAGCCCAATCTGGAAATTTTAGTCATTCTAAGAGTCTCTAGAGGATAATCGTGGGTGCATTCATACGGAAAAGGTGGGTGTTTTTACAGTGAAATGATGCTCAACTTGAGGCTTCATAGTGGGACTTCACAAACCAGTGGAAGTCTGGTTAGTAACCATGGTGGCTACTTCCATCTTTCATAGTGTCTGTAGTTTTGTCAGATCTGCCAGAGCAAAATGCAAACACAACATGCAAAAGTGTCACAGCGCTGTCTTGCTGTGAGCCAGTGATGCCCAATTCGCCACTGTGCTGCTACTGGCCTCCATGCTGGTGGTGGATGCATGTACAAACCCCAGCAGAACTGCTCCATATTTAAGGTGGGCAGGAAAACTAACCAAACATTCCCCCAAACTCTTACCTAGATACAGCGAGGCATTCTCCTTCTTCACATTGTCGTCCAGGTAGGTGGGCCCCAGCGTGTAGATGGGCGTGGACCCCATGCCTACCAGGATCTGAGCGATGACGAACAGCGCCACGTACAGGTTGTGCTCGTTGCCCTCCTGGTCTCTGGGACAGGAAGTGATGTCAACGCGATCCCTGCTGCTGGCATTGCTATTCATGCACAGGCCCTCGTTGGCCGAAGATGAGTTGACCTCCTGGATCTGGTAGGGCGGGGAGATGAAATGAGGTAAGGAGAATAGGGCAGCACCCACAGCGATGAAAATGCCCCCCACTGCCAGCCAGCGAGGCCTCTGGCCCCGCCCACCAAAGTAGCTGATGAAGACGACCACCAGGAGGCTCCCGATGTCGAAACAGCTGACGAGCAGGCCAGACTCTGAGCTCCTCAAGCTGTACCTTTTCTCTATGGTGGTGATGACGCTGCTGAGGTAGCCAGACACCATGAGCGACTGGATGAACGTCAGGTAGCACATGCAGAACAGGAAGCAGCGAGAGTCCTGCAAGATGACGCCAAGGTGCTTCCGACTGGGCAGACGAATCTGAGCTAGCCTGGCTGCGAAAAACCCCGGGGGCTTCCTCCTAGCCATGTGTTTACTCCTTCGGATCTCCGTGTTCTCCATGTACGAGGCCGGCCTATTCAGCGCCGACTTCCCTGGCTTTGGCGGGTAGTTTGCTCTCGTTGGGGACTCGGCCTGGAACGACTCAGTGTTGGGCGGGTTCTGGATGAACTCTGTGCTCTCCTCAGCCGTTATGGACATCCGCACTGAGCTCGCCAGTAAGGTTTTCTCATGAGATGCAGCTTCGCTTAAAACAGGCAAACTTTTAGATTTGAAGTTCGTACCTGGATCCTCCACCTCGCTGGAAAACCCGTCCTCCTTCTGAAGGGACTCGGACAGCTCTGCTTCCTCGTGGTCAGCCATCATTTTCAGTCAATTTTCTTTAGAGGTTCAAAAAAAGAAGCCGGCCCAGTCAAAGAACACATTTACAGTTCAGGGGCTGCTGGCCATCACATCTATTATTAATAGGAACACCTACTCCCACAAAGAGACCAAAAAAAGCAACAATGACAAGCACGCTCACAGCCTCTACTTTATCTCTGCTGCAGGACAGCAGACAGCTCTGGGTTTGTTTATCTTGTCATGCACACTTGCCTTCTGCCACCATCCACCATAATCCGGAGGTGGAGACCGCTCAGGCCTCCTCTGCTCGGCCAGCGGAGCTCCGGGGCCAGGGCTCCCTGCAGATGCTTGCTTCAGCAGGACGCTGGTGCTCCTGGGTCGGGAGCAGGGATGACATTAATTCACAGAGCATCCCTGACAGCCCTGCCGATGCAGATCACACAGCCGCAATAATGTCAGTTCTTTCATCAGGTTGCATGATCGTCGTCCCCTGCTCCTCCTAACTCCTGCCCAAGTCAAGGGCAACCCCGACTCCAATGTTATCAGCGCACCAGCTGTCCTCCCAGCGGGCGAGGGGGGCTGGCATTTAGGGATTATCTTTCGGTGCAAATTCCTGGGGAGGAACATGAACGAATAAAAATCAGGGAAACGGGGAGAAGTCGTCGAGGAGAACCAAAGACAGCGAGCAGAGACAGAGCTGCAGCTCACTGCAGTGCTGCTCGGCTGCTGTCTGTCGCTGTTTTGAAAACAACCAGGTTCAATCCAGGAAACACTTCAAAATAAAAGATGCAATTTTAGTGACAAAACTCCCAAGACACACAACATCATAACTGTGAAATGTAATGGCCATTTCGGGCTTTCTACACTATTTAAGATAATATAGCTTGTAGTAACTTTCCTGACCAATGCATGTTTTCACAATTATCTCCACACGGCTTCAAATATTGCAAAAATAAATAAAACAAAAAACCGGAATCCCATTAACTGTATATTACATCTAAAAAACGTTTTCTGTGTATATTCACGTGCCTCTATATATAATCACTCTTGAACATGTGACTGAATCTGCGATATTTAATATTAAATTCGGTTTGTTTAACACAAACACAATAAATTCCTAACAGCAAAATTAGCAAATTAGAAGAAAGGCCTTCGGAATTATCACAATTTTACTGTTGTTTGTTGTTGTTGTTCTTTTTAATGTACGGTTTACAATATAATGTGTGGAAGATTAAAATGTTTTATTTTGAAAAGAACCATGGCTAGCAGCCATACAGCTAGCGGCTAACAACCCGTAACAATAACAATATCGACATTGTCTTTCATTAACCTGACATACGGTAAAGATGAGACATCATTCAGACCTTCGTGTCCAACTTCCACTAAATAATACTCAAGGGCTGGTAGTGAAGAGTCATTCAAGCAACGTCCTTGTTAAAATATTCCACATCCAAAATATCATGTAGCAAATTAGAGGAGAAAATACCGGAAAAGTGTTTTCAAAATAAAATAAAAGCGTCAGAAAAAAAGGGGGCGATCGCTCATTAAAGCAAGGGAACTTTGGAGATTCATTTTGAGGAATTGCAGGTATTTAAAATACCAGTTTGGCCAGTAGCCGATGCACCGGAGTTTGTTTATTTTTTTGTTATTTATTCATACTGTAGTGTCAAATCAAAAGATAAGCTAAACTGTTTCAAATCTTTCAACTCATTGTCAAAGATCGCAGATGTAAAGAGCAAAGAACACCCTCTGTGTGAGAGTAAAAAAGCCAAGCAAAGGTTAGACGAAATTTCGAGTTATTAGGTCAGAGGCTGAAACAAGTTTCCACAGGTATCAGTCAGTGAGGCCAATACTTGAGTATGTGACCAATATATAAATATTAAATTAAGCCTTTTTTTAAGCATTTTTATCTAGATCATAAAATAGGCAAAGAGTTTAGATAAAGGTTAAATATAAATTAAAATCTAAAAAAGTGAGAACAATAAGATTGTGAAAAAAATACTATAATACAAAAACACATACTGCATGTTAAATATACAATATACACTTAATGATAAGTATTTATTTATTTGTTTAGTTAAAACATCATGCAGCATAATAAGCATAATGTGGTTTCAAACTTCTCCAAGGGCTAAATGAAGACCTGCAATGCTTTGCCTAAAGTATGTAGATACCAGTGTTGGTCAAGTTACTTGAAAAAAGTAATCAGTAACTAACTACTGATTACTTCCCCCAAAAGTAATCCCGTTACTTTACTGATTACCTATTTTCAAAAGTAATTTGTTACTTAGTTACTTAGTTACTTATTTAAAAAATGATTTACAACCTGAATAGGTAAAGCAAAAGAGCTTTCTATTTTTTCTGCATAATCCATCATATAAAATGTAATCAAATGAAAAAGTCTCTTTTTGAAACTAGTTTTATTAGTTTTAGTCTTTTAACTTTGCGCATGAAGCAAA